AAGAGCACTTAGCTCTTACAAGGCTCTGCACTGAGGGAACAGGAGGGATTAGTGTAGGGCTCTAGACATCCCTGTAGAGACACCATGTATTCACTTCAGGGTACACTATATCCTCTAATCTCCCTCTTTTGATTGATTATTGGCACATGGTGTGTCAGGCAAAGTCTTCCCAACCTATTATTCCTTGGCTGGAGAAGTAGTCACTGCAGGTTTAGACATCCCTGCTGAAGAGCACTCACATGACAGCGGCCAGGTCACAGTCTCCATCAGCCCTCTGAATGCGACACATAGTCACTCTTTCCAGAAGCCTTCTGGAAATATGATGTGAAACCTCGGTGCAGCAGCTGGAGGCAATGGGAAGTATGGCTGAAAGAAGAAAGAAAATATTAAACCTTGCAGTTTATAGAACACTAACTTTATTATGGATTAAATTGTGTCCTACAAAATATGTGTTGACATCCTAACTCCTCTATTTATGGATATAATGTTGTTTGAAAATAGGGGTTTCTTTGCTATGTTAATGAGACCAGATCAGTTTAGGGTGTGTCCTAAACTTAATCACTTCTGAGTAATAAAAAAAGATTAGACGCAGAGATACACACACACACAGGAGAATATAGATGCCATGTGAGGATAGTCGACAAGCCAAGGAACTAAGAAATGGCTGGGGCTACTGACAAGGAAGGAAACAACTCAGCCCAGATGGTGATTTGATCTTTTCACTATGAAAAAATAAAATTCTGTTCGTTGAAGCTACCAACTTGTGCTATTTCTGTTACAGCAGCATTAGGCAATAAAGATAGGCCTAGGTTTCATCATAAAGATCCCAGAAAAGAGTGTTAATCCACTCAAGTAGCTGGCAAACACTGGCTGACCTGGGGCAGGATACATTTCTACTTTCCCAGAAGTTACACTGAATTTGAGTAAATAAGTAGAGGCAAAGACATAAAGCAGGTGAAGAGATTAAGAATAGTGCAAGACCACAATGCTAGTGGGGATACAAAATTAAGTAGCGTAGTGCTTACTAAGGCACTTGACTGCTAACCAGAAGGCTGGCAGTTCAAACCCACCAGCCACTCCTCAGAAGGAAGGTTGGGCAATCTACTTCCGTAGTGATACTGCCTCAGCAACTCAAGGGAGGGTCGCTATGAGTCAGGTCTGACTCAATGGCATATAACAACAACAACAACAAAGGTAAAAGGAGTACGGTTAACATAATGTCCCACTCTATTCTAAAGAGAGGGATTATGGGCTCCAGGAGTAGATCTGAAAGCTTTCCAGTAGGGAAGGCCCTGGCTGAATGAATGATTTGGATGAGCAGAGAGAAATGAAGAGATTTGTCCAGACTAAGAATCACAGTCAAAGAGTTCTGAGACAGGAAAACTTTAAATGCAGAGTCAGACTACTGTCTGAATTGAAGGTGAGTGATGGGAAATGCCTTCAAAAGATAGACTAAGATCACGGCACTGAAGCTTTGGGAAGTTTATTATTGCTGTCAGCTGCCCTCAGTTGATTCTAACTCAGGGTAAGCCTATGAATGCAGAGTAGAATTGCTCCTTAGGGTTTTCAAGGTTGTGACCTTTCAGAAGCAGATTGTCAGGCCTGTCTTTAGAGGCATCTCTGGATAGGTTTGAACAGACAACCTTTAACCTGGTAGTTGAGAACTTAATTCCTTGTGCTACCTATGGACTCATTTGTGAAATAGGGGCCACTAAAGATTTGATAAAGGAGAAGGGTGTTAGGAAACTTCACTTTGCAGTGATGAAGATGGATTAAAATGTAGAGTGTCTAGGGCAAGAGGTCAAGTTGTTGTTGTTGTTGTTGTTGTTGTTAGGTGCCATCCAGTCAGCTCTGACTCGTAACAATTCTGGTACAACAGAACAAAACAATGCCAGATCCTGCACCATCCTCACAACCTTTGCTATGCTTAAGCCCATCATCGCAGCCACTGTCAATCCATCTCATTGAGGGTCCTTCCCCTTTTCTCGATCCTCTACTTTACTAAGCATGATATCCTTCTCCAGGGATTGATCCTTTCTGACAACATAATCAAAGTACATGAGATGAAGTCAGGCCATTCTCACTTCTAAGGAGAATTCCAGCTATACCTCTTCCAAGACAGATTTGTTTGTTCCTCTGGCAGTCCCTGGTATTTCCAGTATTCTTTGTGAACACCACAATTCAAAGGCATCGATTCTTCTTTGCTCTTCCTTATTCATTGTCCAGCTTTCACATGCATATGAGGCAATTAAAAATACCATGGCTTGGGTCAGACACACTTTAGTCTTCAGAGTGATATCTTTGCTCCTTAACACTTTAAAGAAGTCTTTTGCAGCAGATTTGCCCAGTGCAAAACATTGTCTTATTTCTTGACTGCTGCTTCATGGGTGTTGATTGTGGATCCAAGTAAAATGAAATCTTTGACAACTTCAATCTATTCACCATTTATCGTGATGTTGCTTATTGGTCCAGTTTTGAGGATTTTTGTCCTCTTTATGTTGAGGTGTAATCCATACTAAAGACTGTGGTCTTTGATCTTCGTCAGTAAGTGCTTAAAGTCATCTTCACTTTCACCAAGGAAGGTTGTGTCATCTGCATATCACAGGTTGTTAATGAGTCTTTTCCAATCCTTATGCTGCATTCGTTTTTCATATAGTCAGCATCTCTGATTCTTTGCTCAGCATGCTGTTGTTGTTAGGTGCCGTCGAGTCGTCTCCTACTCACAGCGGTCCTATATACAACAGAACAAAACCCTGCCCGGTTCTGTGCCAGCCTCATAATTTTTGCTACACCTGAGCCCATAGCTGCTGCCACTGTGTCAGTCCATCTCATTGAGGACTTTCTCCTTTTTCATTGACCCTCCACTTTACCAAGCATGACATACTTCTCCAGGGAATGGTCCCTTCTCACAACATGACAAAGTAGGTGAGACGGAATCTGGCCATTCTCACTTCCAAGGAGCATTCTGGCTGCACTTCTTCCAGGACAGATTTCTTTTGGCAGTCCATGGTACT